CCGATTTTACGCTCCGTAGAGTATGTAATTCTTCAAGGATGCAAATTTCGGATGAGTTCTTTATAAGTGGCTGCGCTGTTTAACAGAGGCACGCAGACCCACAGCTCGTTGTCATCGGGATATAGATGGTCGTTGTTGAGAATCTTATAAGTTGAACTGTTTCGTGACGTTCCAAGAAGTAAAACAAAAAAAAGCTTATTTTCAGGGGATGCTGGAGAAAATTTTAATTGATTTTAGCTAGGGTAGAGCGCTACTTCGTCGTAATCGCCCATTTCCGTTCTATCGATCAGAAAAGATCAATAATATCAATGATTTCAACGTGCACAAATCAATAATAGGTTTGTTCCGATGCGCTAGCTCATTAGCTACAACATAAATCCTGTTAGAGCGCATTGCATGAATATTTACGCTCATTGTTCTCAAAACAAAAGAAGCGCTCCTAGCTAATCCCCTTTTTCTACGTTTATCCGTAGGACGAAGAAAATCTAATGGCGTTTCAATGCGTTACGACGGAATTGAAACTCGTAGAACGAATTTAGAATCAAGAATCAGTGTTAGATTTTAGACAATATCTCAACAATTTGTGACTCTTTATCAAATCCAACGGTACGTATGGAAAGGTGAATAAATTTGCAAGTCATATTTGATAGACATATTACATTTTTTGTTTTAACTCGTTCAGCAAAGGGAGGTAAAGCACGGGTTGTGCTTAGTAGGACGGAAATTAGATCAAAAGCCCTACTGCTATTTGCTATTACTTTAGATATGAATATGGGATTCTCAGAAATAGTATTGCCAAATAAATTAAATTTCAGTTGGCATCATGTTCCATATCAACACGGTATTGCTTTTGATACTAACATTGATAGAAATGTGTATGTCAAGGATAGGATTGATCCACAATGTTGCTACAACAACCAGACAAACATAATCAGAGTTTAATGCGAGCAAAATGATAGTCAGAATTTATCACAGTAAGAGTTCAATTAATCAAGAATGGAATTCCACAGTAATGCATTCAACATATCACTTACACCAAAGCACCACATACCGCAAACTGCTTTACGTTGCAACCTAATTCAATAATAATGCTTAGTTACACTACCTGAGCCATTCACCTGCATCAATCACGGGACACCATTCTACATGGTAAAATAACCACTTTTGCCAGTAAAGTTATAAGCACTTCCTCTGCACATACCTAAACATAGCATGGTTCAGAAATTCTTTGGGATTCCATGGCATGAAGAATGAACGGTAGAAATGGGAAACAGTAAGAAGAAAGCAGTGAACGAGAAGTAATGTTTCACTTTAAGGAGAAGCATTTTGAAGCCTTCTTCATGCTTTTGTAGACAACGGGTAAATTGTTAGTACTTCGAAAAATTGGACTATGCAATGAAGGTTGAATTCTGAATGGCTGTAAGTAGCTGGGCAGGCGTCGATCCAGTTGAAATTTTTTAATATAAAATGGAATAAGGGAAATGGCTCTAATATTGGCCTATGGATCTAAGATTTTTTTTCCTCCTTGATTTTTTTCCGTCGATCTTGTTTTCCGTGCTGAGCACCAATGTTACCGATGCAAGGGAGGCAGCTCCCACACCTGGACCCTACCTATCGACCCATCAACTCATGAACCGGGGACCAACGGCTTTACTTCCCTTCCGAATGAAGGCGTGATCAGAGATGTTATGCCTCAGAACATCCCGGCGGAGCCGACTAAGATTGAACCCAGGTCTGCTGGGGTGAGAGGTGATCACGCTTAATACTACACCACTGGCACCGCTCCATGGATCTAAGATTGGGCCCATTGCTAAAAATCTGATATTTATCAATTTTATCTAGATTATGACATGGGATAGTTCTAATGGATATATTTAGTCGATTGCTGAATTTATGTATGGGCCCAAATTAGGGTCATTTAGGCCCTCATTACATCCATTTCCCCTATGTAGAAATGTCGCTTACGTACAAAACAAAAAAGGAGTGGGTTCAGATGAGAATGTTGGGGTTGGGGCACTCCAGAAAATGTGGTATATACTTCATGGAAGAAATTTGTGAAGAGGCTACACATTTCAGAAGAATTTTCAACAACATTTGAGCCAAAATTCATTCGTGGAGAAAAATTGTTACTTTTCAACTTCGTGTTTAAAGATCTGGCCCAAAAACTGAATGATAAAAGAAGTGTTAAGCACATTTTGAAGATCGATTATCTTCTGAAAGAATTCTAGTAAAATATTTGACATAAAATCAATTGTTAATTTTTATTGTTATTATTTTTTTATTTTATATTGAACCTGAAAACTGCAAACTTCAGTGGCGCAGCCAAGGAACCTGTTGGCAAGGTTGCAAAGACTCATTTCAGCTAAAACAATGTTTTTCTAAATTATGAAATAATTAGATGCCATGATCAAATTTTGAATTGGTAGGATACAAGAAGAGGTTGCAAAGAATGTGTTTGACATATTAAACCTGTTTATTTCACTTCATGAGAGTCACAATCAGCGATTTTTCACAAACTCACTCACTCACTCACTCACTCACTCAGCGATCAGCAAATCGCTGATTGTGACTCATAGAAAGCAAAATTTACAGGTTTTATGTTTCCACCGCATACTTTGTAACCTCTTCTTGTAAGTTACAAGTAAAACATGCCATCATACCATCTTTTGGTTTTATTATTCCGAAAAACATTATTTTAGCTGAAATGAGTCTTTGCAACCTTGCCTGTTGGGAGTTATTTTCACTGACATTTTTAGTTTTAATAGTTGCGTTATCGTGAAACTTACTGCGCCAGCGAAAAATATACATTTTAATCCAAGAACTTCATGCGGACAGTAGCGAGTAGTTGAGAAGGACCAGCGTGCATAGCTGATGCGTATCGCGAAAGATTAACTCCACCAGGCAATGATTCTTTGGCAGTAGCTTTTGCTACTGGGTGCTTTCTGTTGTAAGGGATCGTCGCATTTCCAAGTCGACCATCAACACGAATGATTTGTTTGTCCGCTCGTATGAATGGATTTAGTACACGCAGAGGAGATCGCTTGGTGATTTGCACATCTTGGGATAGGTACCAAAACTCTTCCGAGAAGGATACAAGTTTTATATGACGAATAACTTGCCTTACAGTGAATCTTAGCTTTGCTACTGATAGTGGACCTGACATGTGTGTCTGATTTTATGGCGTGCGTTTACAATTAGCGATGAAACGATTACAGATTCCAAAAACTCTCAAAACCTTGTAAAATGACTCGTAGCCTTCAAACGGTGCCTCAAACCAACAATCTTGATGCAAGATGACGTGGGAGACTACTGCTAATTCGAACAGGATGGCTTCTCCAAGACGTTGATGATTTTGGTCAGTTTTGGCTAAATTTCCGCAGCCAATCTGGAGCCTGCCACCACAATTGATACGTGACAAGATACTCGCCCAAGCAACACACATCCATCATAATAAGTTGCTGCAACTTGATTATGACTGAAATAAGTCACATAAAAGTAACCCCAACTACTCAGTGACAAGTGTGCTGATAGGGTGGGGTCCAAGCCGCGTGAAATGTGGTCAGCTGGGCTATCATGTGTTGAGACATAATTCTAGGAAGCACCTTGAGAAGTTGTTACCTTTCGACGACCCGGTTGGCTACGAAGGTCTTCCATGACGATGGTTCATCTGCAAGCCAGTGTAGTACGCTCGTGAAATCTGATCAGAAAAAGGAGGGCAATTGACTTCGATGTTGTCAAGAACATTCTTCTGAAGGTTATCCAATATCATATTCAAGGCGAGTGAGTGATGGACGTCATTTTTTCACAAGGAGCTACACGAGATTTTACAGCCATCAACTGAACCGATACTAACCTTGAAGCTTCTGGAGATGTGAAAAATTCTTGATGAAACATATACATATGATCGCACAAGAGCGGGACCCCAAGTTGTATTGATGATTGTTGTGAAAATTACGGAGACGAAGAGAGCTTTTCCTTCTAATTCCGTTACAGTTGTTTATCCAAGTAACAATTTGGGTTTTATGAGGGTACTGTAGACCATAATTTAGACTTGTAGAGTGCTTTAAACCTCACTAAAACCTGCAATGTTACTTGGGTATCTTTTGACAGATACGCATATTTCGTCTATTACTTGGTGTTGAGTGCTTGGCACTGATGAAGTCTGCAAGTAGTAGACGAAATACGCGTATCTGACAAAAAATAAGCAATTATGACGGAATCAAAAGGAAATAAATCAGCACACACAAAAAACGCTTCATATATGCTTACATTATAGATCGAGTCAAGTTATGAGACCTTTCATGAAATGTTTCAAATATTTCCAAAAGAAACACAAATTTCTTCGCATGGATGTTGACATCACCAGTATTATTCAGAATTGTGTTATGTGCAGCACGCTAAAAGCTAAATTCACTCCATTGAAAATGAACTACAGCATTCCCTCCATATATGCAGTCACCCACCGCTATTTCGCGGCTGTCCTACAACTAATTGAGACTAATTTCTGGTTGAAGGAACACCAAAAAATAGCGGTGAGTTTACGGTAACACCCACCGCTTATATCGAGGGAATGCTGTAAAACTTTTTCTGATGGAGTTTTTCTTTTCAATTTTTGGTTGAACAGGCACAACAACTTAGCAGTGGAAATATTGGTGATTTGAAAATACAAGTTTCCCTTCCATCACTTGTCATTTTCATTTCATCTATACCGTATGCGCAGTTGAATCGAAGGGAATTGGTATCGCTGTTGGTAATTTTTGTGTAAAACTTTTTTAATCATCTGATCGTTTGCTGGCCACTGTTGAGTATGATTTTCTATTTTATTTGAAGGCCTCCTGGTATTTTAATATCATTCCTGTGCAGAAAGAGTCTCAAAGTGATGCATTTGAAATCTGAAAAAAAGGTATTAGCTCAAAATTATAGCATTGCAAGATGTAACCTGTCTTAACGTTTAATCATGTGACCAACTTTCTAACAATATCAATCTTTTTCTTCCACAGATAACACTTCTGATACTTGTCGCACTGCCGCTGCTGGTTCTTTCAATACCAATCGATTCTGCAGATAATGCATCCACCGAGGACATTGATCGATCTGATGTCACGCGAGCCAAACGTTCCGGTTTCAGTCTCGTTTCCGGTCTTAAAAACGTACGTATAATTGCATTTCTCACATCACGAATTTACAATCACTCCACCTACAATCCATCGACAGTGCACCTCTGAAAAATCACCATTCGCACCTTTCAGACACTTCTATCGGGAATAGGACGAGCGTCGGCCTCGCTAGCAGCTAGCAGCGCCGGGACGGCATCTTCTAGCATAGCAATGCACTCGTCGAGCGGGGGCTCTAGTGGAGGACACTCGTACGAAAAGCCTCACTCGTATGATAAGCCTCACTCGTACGAAAAACCTCACTCGTACGAAAAGCCTCACGTAAGTTGCACATTTCATAACACCATCCCTAGAACCTACACCTATTCTACATTGCACAGCTGGCATCAATATCACGTACGACCGTATTGCAATCCTAGTGATAAGCTAAATTAAGCTTTAAAGTTCGGTGGAGCTGTAATGGCTTAATCATTATCACGACGTGATAAGTCACTCTTCATGCACTACCTCGCTATCCATTTCTTATAATCAGATTTCTTAATTCGAGGGGAAAAGAATCATCAATCTTGAGATGGCATGGCTAAGGATACCAAAATCAGAACTAAATGGTAATTGGAGCTACACTGATGGCATAACGATGAAACGGGTTAGTTTTTTTTTTTCTGTATCGTAATCTGAGGGCAAATTGTTCACCGGGGTGGAATTTATCATTTTGGGTTGCGTTTTTAGTTGTCACGTAGAAAATTTCGGTGATGAATATCATGTGAAATATTGATAGCATTATTTCATCATGAGGCTCCAATAATTGCTTTAACAAGTTTCACATAACAAAATTGTTAATTTTACTGCGTAAATGTCAATGTTATTTAAGTGGCGTTCAATACAATTCAATATAAGCATTCAAACAAATAGTCATAGGGTTGGAACGAATGTTGTCACAAACTTAAAAATGGCATTTTTCATTAAACTAAGTTTCAGTTATTTGAAATAATTTGAAAATTTTGGGTAACAACTTTTCAACGATAAGGAATCAATGGTTTGCTGTGAAATTTACAGTTTTACAGTTTTTACAGTTTTTATCTTAAAGAAATTGTCTACATTTGGGTGCCACTATGCATCTTAAGAACGTTTTTTGTTTTTGTAATTTCTTCTGAAAATACATTTCGCACATGGATTTAAGCAAATGATTAGGATTAAGGGAACCAAAATTCAATATAAATCAAAATATTTTTCTTTTTTAAGTTCAATTAGTATACAATACAGAAAAAAAATCGTGTAGTGGCAAGCGTGATTACCTCTCACCCCAGCAGGCATGGGTTCAATCCCAGTCGGTGCCGCCGGGATGTTCTGAGGCATAACATCTCTGGTCACGCCTTCCTTCGGAAGGGAAGTAAAGCCGTTGGTTCCCGGTTCATGAGTTGATGGGTCGATAGGTAGGGTCCAGGTGTGGGAGCTGCCTTCCTGTCGTCGGTAGCATTGGTGCTCAGCACGGAAAACAAGATCGACGGAAAACAAATCAAGGAAAAAAAACAATACAGAAAAATATTCAGATAAGCATCCAATTGACCAAATCCGAATTGCCGGGCTTTTCGTTTAACTCCTTCCATCAGATTATGTACAGCCACCTTGTTCGCCGCAGAACTTCAGGTTGCCATAAACTACTTCTCGCTTCCAACAGTTTGTAGGGTCTTCTTCAGACGATGATCCAATATTTTTTCGATTGGGCGGAACTCTGGCGTGTTGGGAGGGTTCTTGTCCTCGGGAACCTTATGCACGTTGTTGGCGGCATACCACTCCATGTCCTTTTTTCCGTAATGGCAGGATGTAAAATCCGGCCAAAACAGCACCGAACAATCGTGTCGATCGCGCCCGAACACAGGTCAAGAAAGGAAGGGGTAGGAATGTGTTGACGTTACACTCGCTTTGATGGAAGCCGAGAACATCTCTGCACTTCCATGAGGAATTACTGGTATATTGGGTAATACGGTTGGGTTTGCAGCAGGGTTCGTTTTCGTAAACGATAAGCTGAATTGACGAATCTTGAATGTGGATGGGCTGCTCAGTAATCAAAAAAGGTTGCTCTAAGGTCACCGAGCCCCTCATATCACATTATACCTTTACTCAAGTTTTTATATCCATTCAAACCCGGCACCGACGACAACGAAAAGTTTTACAAAATACACGATAAACAAGCGATCTTACCATACATTTTTAATATGAAAGGACCTGGGACCGCGATTTTCTGCTAAGTAAGCAAGCCACTGCATCCGAAAATATTTCAAATTCTAAAACTAAAAGCTACGAAAGAGTACTTAGGCCTTCATTAAGTTCCACTTTCACGCGACGTTCAATGTTTCAATTTGCTCTTTACGCATGGTTGAGGCAATCATAACAAGCTATGACCGACGTGACGATTGTTTAAGCCCTGGTTAAACAAGCTATTCAAATGAAATAGAAGATACGTTCTCAGATTTCACTTGGTATGTAATGAGCAGCAGAAAAGCGGTTGACGGTTAATTTTAAATATACTTACGGTACTGCCTACGGCGACTACGACGGCGAATACGAAGGCGCCTACGACAACGACAACAGCGAATTTGTAACTTACCATTTGTCTAAGATATAACACCTTTGCCCGGCACCTCCACTTGAGCTTCATGTCAGCTATCTGTCACTGTTTGCAAACAATATCTAATACCAATTACCTTTGTTGTAATACTTCCTGCATTCCCATGGTCATCTGGTAGGAAGTTCGCGTCTAGTGCTTTCCCCAGAAACCGTTCACGGCCACCAACTACCTCCCGTCCAGTCTTGGGCGTATCCAGCGAGGCATCCTTCAGCTTTCACACAATCTTCGACACTAGTGAGAGACAAGCAGATGAGCACTTTTGCAAGCCGTAAACTCGCTGATTCACGGCAACGTCGGCCACCGAATAACCACCAAAACTCGCGGCGAACACATTATCAGCACTTTACCCAGCTAGTTTACCAACCGGACCGTGTTCAAACTCGCACACAAATGACAAAATTGTTTTATCAAAGTAAGTTCTTTGCGAGCAACGTTCCGAGCGCTGTGCGCATTTTACGGTCGCAATAATCATCCTTCCGATAGGAATATTCACAATGTGGTGAACAAATTCGAGGAAACTGGTTTGGTGAACGCTCACGTACGTGAACGGAACGCAAGGTCTGCCAAGAATATCGCTGCTGTAGGAGAACCCACGGCACAAGAACTGGGCCTCTCGCAGGCTTCAACTTGGCGAATTCTGCGTCGAGACGTGGGTCCGAACCCATACAAGATCCAATAGACCCAGGAGCTCACGCTTAACGATCATAGACAGCGCCGTGTGTTCGCTGATTTCTGGATGAACGGGTATGTGAACAAGTAGAATTGTCGAATTTGGGACAAGGTCAATCCACACGAGGTCCACCAAGTGGCAATGTATCCCCAGAAAGTCACCGTTTGGTGTGAATTTTGGACCGGAGACATTATCGGTCCGTAGTTCTTCGAAAACGACGCTGGCGAGGCCATTACCGTCAACGGAGAGCGCTACAGGTCGATGATTACCAACCGTCAATATCTTACACACAGTTTGTTTTATTAAACTTTAAAGATAGGGGAAATGTATGTAATGGGGCCTAAATGTCCCTAATTTCGGCCCATACATAAATTCAGCAATAGACTAAAATTTCATTAGCGACCAAAAATATCTATTAGTACCGTCCTAATGACGCGTTCATCTAGATAAAATTGATAAATACCAGACTTTTAGCGATGGGCCCAATCTTAGATCCATAGGCCAACATTAGAGCCATTTCCCCTAAGAAAAGCTTAATGGAAAATCCTTTAGAAGAACAATTGGAAGAAACACGGGAGTTGAGAGCATGACAGAAAGCATAAGTCGCCTCGCAGGAAAAGTAAGAAGAGCTCTCAAACAATGTTTCTCATAAATATTTGTTGTTGTAATTAAAAAATTATTTACTGTTGTTCGGCTATGTTGCATACTTGCATAGTTGCTATGATGCTCGTTCCACAGACAAACAGACGTAACTCTTCATTGTGTATCTTCGTTCATGCATTTAACGGTTGATTTGAATATGATCAGTTCCGCGAACTACTCGCCGCAGCGCTGGCATCGGATCACTTTGACGTTTCTATATATTCTATAGAAATTTTATGCAATATTGTTTTCGAGTTAGCGAGCAAGCTTGTTTTCCGCGAGAAGCCAGATAGATGTCGTTACTGAGGTGCTATGTTTTGAGATACTATGTTTTCAAGAACAAGTTTTTCAAAGAGTTACGTCTGTTTGTCTGTGCTCGTTCTATAGCTCCACGATTTTTTCAAAATGTTTTCTGCTGCGCTTCAAAAAGATATTTACGAATTACAACCAGCATTTGAACCTACCATGGCCACATGCTGATCCTTTGGAAATTTTCGGTACATCTGTAAAACTGATAAATTCATAAAACTCATTTCAAAGTTCCACAATATTTTCAAAACGTATTCTACTTTGGTTCAAAGATAATTAACGATGTACAATCAGTAATTTAGGCCTCCCATGGCCACTTGCTGGTCCTCCGGAAGATGCGGAAAATTTGTAAACATTAGCATTTCTAGAATCTCTATCTATAGCTCCGCGCTTTTCCATATGATTTCTGCTGTGCTTCAAAAGTTATTTACGAAGTGCAATCAGCTTTTAAGCCTTCTGTGGTGAAATGCTGGTACTCCGAAAGATCCGAGGTATAGATCATTAACGAATTACCGAATAATGGACCAAGATGACTTCTCTGTGCACCCGGATAGAATCACAAACGCATTCGATTTTACACCATGAGCATTCACGAATGATTTGTGTACCGATAGATTTTCGGAAGCTTTTGAACAGTCAACTTACATAGCTTCCACTTGTAGCCATTTTTCGATTATGTTTATGAACATGTTAACGCAGGACATGAGTTTCAAAAGAGTCGTACGTTTTTTCACGAAGCCGTGCTGAAACTCAGACATCACAGGCTGCACAATGTGCAGTGCACATCCAACCAGATACAATACTGAACAGATATGAATGTGTATCGGCTGGTTGTTTCAATGTTCAAATCATTGTTACTTGGTTTGTAAATTCGAGTGATTAACACAAGCTTTCAGAATTTGAGAAAGCACAGCGATTGATTTAAAAAAATAAATAAACGGGTCTGGTGAGCGGCGCTGCATAGATCTTGATAACAGCCTTTTCCTGTTGCTGTTCTTTTCTTCTCATGGAGTTTTGGGCTACGAAAGAAGCGTTTTCTGGCTTCTCGCTGTCGAACGGAGTATACGGAACTGCTTCTCTAATAATTTAACGCGTATTTCCGTAAAGTGCAGCTCACGGAAGCATTTGTTTTTGTTTTTTCGTGAATCATGCTGTTATCACAACGAGTGAAATCAAACTTAAGACGATAAGTGGCGTATTTTACTGGAGAACGAAATTATCGGACTCTTCTTACTTAATTAAATTCCTTCTAAAATGCATATTTCCAGTTCGGAAGATATGACCGACATTTTCGTGAGTAACGTGAGTGTGATCTGAAACACTCAATGTTTATTAATGTGATTTCATTGAGCACATGATTTCTAGCAGCTCTGTAGCAATAATACGAATGTTTAACTCGACGAACATCTCCTTTTTAACCTGAATAATGGATAAAATATAAACCATACCGTTAATGTGAAAAGCTGATTCATCGCCATCCAAGCGAAAAATCTAAAAAGAGAAACTTAAAACTCAGACAAACAAGCATATAAAAGTTGCTTTGCTGTCATAAAAGTTGGTTTATTCCCGTAGAGATAAACATTTCCCCCCATCTAAATACAGCAACATCCTTCCTAGACGTTTTATATTCCGTGACACTGACATTGAAATAATGTTTCAACCGTTTGATGACATTCACTTAAATCTACAGATTCAAGGTATATGGATTTTTTTATCTTTGCACTGCAATTATATATGTTCATAAAAGTGACACCATCACTTCAAATTTGAGATTGGAAAACAAACAATCTACCTTTTGAAATAGCCCAGTCTGATGCAATTATTTACAAACCATGGTAATAGTTGTTGCTCTACAAAAATAGTAACACAGTCATGATTTCGATATTTCCATTGCAGGACGACAACCACTTCGACGGATGGGGATTGAAAAAGTCAATCCTCAACACCCTGTTCCAGGCAGTGAAGGCCATCACCGGCGGCGTAACGGTGCTGAAGGGTCAACTCATCAAGGGATCGGGCTACGCGGTCAGCGGCGTTGGAAAAGTTATCGCTGCCGGTGGGGATGCCGTTTCGAACGTGGGCAAAAAGATAACAACATCTGCCCATCTGATACCGGCTTCCCATTCCGCTCATCCGTTCGCCAAATTGAGTAGCTCGCTATCGTCTGGCTCAGCCGGTTTGATCTCCGGGGCTTCCTCGTCCTCGTCGGGCTCGTCGTCATCGTCTGGACATCACACTGGACCATCAAGCGAAAGTAAGTGTTGCTATAGTACCTATCTCTGCATACAAGTACATACTGTGATTTCAAAGCGATTCAAATCAGCGTGCATAAGTCTACTAGGAGGGAGAGAACGGGTTATTTGCTGATTTGGTGTTGCAAAGTGCATTTCCGCGCTTGTCTTAATTGATTGGATTATTTAATCAGTTTGCTGCTCTATCGCAATATGCTTCGACTTCCGAAGAAATAGTATGGAATTGTTCTTATAGCATCAAATGATTTCATTCTAGGTTTCACAAGCTATGAAGCTCCCCACAGCTATGGTCATGACTCGAATAGCCATGTCAGTGCACCATCGAGTGCTGCATACATTCCACCAAAGCAATCATCGCACTATAAATCTCCACTGACTTCCTATGGAACTGAGGTTGAGTCGGATGGTAAGCATGACCTATGTATTTCAAATCGTTTACCTTTTACATGGTAATTTACAGTACAGTTGCGGTTAATCAAAATATTTTAAACATTTTATTCCTACTGCAGCCGTTTCCTTCGTATTTTGAACAATCTTCCAATAACTGCTCTTGTTTGATAAGAATTCCTCTTGATAAATGATGGTCTGCAATCCGTTGAAACTGACGAACGGAAAATAAACTAAAAAATGTGTTACAATTCTAATCGACGCATCTGATTTTGTAAACATTTAATTCAATCAACGATTTGTGGAAACTGCCAGCTCACTCACACAAACTAACAACATCAACTGGTAGGAGAAAGATTCCCGAACCTGCTGGTTTAAGAAAAATCGACGATTGAAGTGCACACTAAGAAATAACTACTTTTACACGAGACGTAATCTATATTGGACGTAAATCATGAAACGTAAACAAACATTTCATTCAAATTAGGTGTTCTCAAACCAACATATTTGGAACTCGACGAAGGGAACGTTTGATTGAATTGATTGTCTCGTTACTTTCAACTGATTTTTATGTCAAAAGGGCCGCTTACATGTTTCGGTCTCAAAGAACCGAAATTTACATTACTTTTTCGTAGTGCGTGCGTACCAGAAACGTTGATTTGAAAAGAGACGAAATAATTATGTATTTCAGTGGCCAGCCCATTGAAGTCTGCCGTATTTGTAGGGTTCACAATATTGGTTTCTGCTAGGCAGTCTGAAAAGGTTGAACGACATTAACGTGCCTTTAGCATAATTTTACACGTGTTCAGAAATTTACATGCTATCTTTTTCGAGTCATTTAAAATTACAAACCATCATCGTGTAATTTTCAACGACCGTGTAATTTTACTCCTATTAGTTTAGATTGTGAATTTTTGTAGATTTTTTTTACTTGGGTACTCATGATGGTCTGCTTTAGTTGGGATTACATTTTATTACCAGATCATCTCGGCTGACTTTGGAATTAATCTAAGCCAATATCACTCAAAATTAGAAGATCTTATATATACACACTTAGAAAATGGATGAAAATTTAGGTGCTCTGAGACTGACCTATACGAGCGTCAATTTTGACATAAAATTGAGTCATAATAGACGCGAAATTCAGCTCAATCCAAAGTACTTTCAAACTTTTCAGTCTCGGAGCACTTAATTTAAATGACATGTTTGTTTACGTCTTATACTTTATGTCAAAAATGGATTCCGTCACGTGTAAGATTAGGTATTTCTAATGGTGGTAAGCTCCAACCGGTATTATCCTCGGATTAAATCTCGATCAAGAATGTCCGGCTGGTTTGATGTCGACATCAGAGTTAATCAACATAACTCTGAGCAAACATTTTTCAGATCATACAAACAGGGACGGTATTAAAAGTTAATCCGAGTTGGAGCTTACCGCCATAAGTGTGTAGAACTAGTAGGGTAGATAGGGGCAATATGGTCCCCCTAAGAAAAACACATCATAACACATGAAAAACATTCATAAATGTATGATAGCTGTGATCATGCTCATGCTTTGGAATATGTTTGATAATATACAATGTTCAAAATATGGATAAAATATGATTGAGTCAATTAATTATTATGTTTGAAAAATTTCAGTTTTTGCTCCGATCAACAACCATACGGGGCAACATGAGCACCCTAGTAAAAGTTAACGATTTGACAGGTTTTCACTAGAAAATAACATTCAGGAATCATGTGAAATTGAAACATAAGTTCTTTTAGCAACAGTTACGTGTATTGCTCGCTGTAGAACCAGCGGATCAGTAAAATGTAATATAGTGAATGCAATGCTTGTTTTCTTGACTGCATATCTTATAATATCCTAGAGATTTTCAGCTAATGTTACATTTCCATTATTATCTTAGACATGTAATTGCATTTTGATACGGTTTTCATGGAGATGCATATTAAAAGCATTTTCAACAAGTTTGTAAAAAAAATAGATTGAGTTAATAGGTATTATGCCCAAACGAACGGTGGCCCATCTCGCCCCGTATGGTCTTCTTGGCCCCATCCCCCCTAATAAAGTTTGATCATATAAGAAGCATTCCACAATTAATGTCCACTATTAAGTAACCATAACAATTTCTGTAGAGAATCTTTTTATAACTATTATGTAAGTCAAGACAAGCGTAGAGCCCTATATTCAAGCTAGAAGCGTCTTCTATCAGTCTGAGCGGTCTGGACAGCATGACCAGCATAAAATACAGTAATCCGTTTTTGTCACCGTGGAAAACGAAAAAAAGAACAAACAACGAATTATCACGTATTTCCAACCAACCATTACTACTACCATCCATTTACTAGATTTTAGAATTGAAATAACGAAGATTGATTGATCATGAAACTAGAAATCAACCAATACTCACAATAAAAATGGCAGACTAATTTTTCTGCTTCCTAACAGGTACACTGAACACGTCCAGAAGGTTTACACGAAAGACGTGTAACTTTGTAAGTGATGCCGCATAGAATTACTTGCGCAGCGTAAAATTCGGATAGAATAAGTAGCATTTTACGCAAAGTCGTGTTATTTGCAATGATTAGTGAGAAATACTTCATGTGCGCACTATATTGCATAAAATTACGCAAGAAATTAAATTACGCGAGACTTTTTGCTGTTACACACTTAGAAAAAATCATGTAAATTTAGATGCTCTGAGAGTGACATATACGAGCGTGCGAAATATAGCTCAATCAAACGTACTTTTCGTCGAGCAACGAACTTTTGAGTCTTGGCGCACTTAATATTACATGACACGTTTGATTACGTCTCATCTTTTATGGCAAAGATGAATTCTGTCACTTGTTAAATTAGTTGTTTCTAAGTCTGTAGTTTTTGAATTACGCTTACGTTAAAATTTATTATTTTTTGCTTTTTTTAAGATCTTAAAGAGCTAGTCAAAACATCACGTCAGTTCCATAAACTTCCGGAAATTTTGTCATTTTATATGAAGATCAGATAAGGTCCCGATAGTTCCATTAACTTTGAGAAAATTTCTGGAACTTTACATTAACTTAAAAAAAACTTCAGAAAACTTCAGGAAAGTGCATAGATTTTTTCCGGAAAATTGAGGTACCTATAGGGAAGTTTCGAAAACTTAAGGAAAATTTTGCTAACATTAGGCCATTCTATTGACTTTAAAAATCCATAAATTTTCAGATGTTCCAAGAAAATAGTCCAGTAGTTTTCAAAAAAGTTTTGAGTCCCATTTATGATAGTACCTTAATATGAGGAAAAAAATCCAAGAACCTTCAAGAAGTTTAGAGAACTTCATGGAACTTCCAAAAACTTCAGGGTGGTTCCATGAATTTCAAGAACGTTCAGAATTGTGAAGGAGTTCCAAGATCGTTTAGGATAGGTTCCGATACATTCGGGCATTTCCGTAGGTTTTAGGAAAATTTCTAGAAAAATAATAAACGATTCTCCGTAAGATTCGATGGAGGATAAAAAAAAAATGATTTGAATTACCGATAATCGAGTTCGACCTGTACTTTACCTTAACATTTTTACGACTAAAATCAATGTTATGCATAAAGTATAAACCAGGCTTGTTGGAGCCTTATTCGCGAGTTTGAAATGAGCCGAGCGTAGCATTTTTCTGAGGAATAGAATGCCTACTGCCAAATCATTCCACTGAGCTTCAGAGCTTGTGAGCGAAGGGCGATAAAATGAGAGTGATGTTTGCTGTCATTCATGTCCATGTTTTCTATCACACGCTCTTACTCTCACTCTGGGTGAACTCTGAGCTTCTTGCGTCGAACAAAAACGTCATCCGGAGTCTCGAAAAGCGCACCTCACGTCAACTCAACCTCTCGCTGAAGTTCAGTCTCCCTCTCTCTCTCGAGGAGTTTTTGTTTACTTCTTCCATATTCCTGCCGCTGACTGGCTAAACTCACAGGACAAAAGTGTTTTAAAAGCTCCAGTGAGTTTGAGGAGTTTCAGCAAGCCTGGTATAAACAACAGATCGAAAGGACAAAATATTATAGGAAAAAATGTTAAAGGTCCTCCCAAACTGGCGCGTTTTTTACGCCGCAGTAGAGGTAGCGAATAAATTGCGTTAACCGCGGTGGCGAAATTCGCGTGGGTATCCACACCGGAGCGGCACTTTTTTCGAAGCGTCGTCGTAGCGATCGTGAGCAATGGATTCGTCGTCGGATGAAGAAGAGGCGCTTTTGCTAGTTTCTTTACAAGCAGAGGAAAATGCGTAGGCTTTGTGTTGTAGCTTGTGAACTAACGCATCGGTACAAACGTATTACTGATTTGTGCATGTTTTCTGCTCGATAGAACGGAAATGGACAATTACGACGAAGTAGTGCTCTACCCTATCTTCAGATAAATTTGCAGAACTTCAGGAAAATTCGTAGATCATCAAAAACTTTGCATAATTTCAAAGAAGTTTACAGAACTTCAGAAATGTTGATAGAACATCAGAGAAATTTGCAACACATAAGGGAAGCTCGCAAAACTTCAGGAAAGTTCGTAGATCATCAAAGAAATTGAAGTTGAAGCAGTAAATTAAATTTACAAGTTCAGACATCTTTGAAAATAATAGTTTCGAACCAATTATATTAAGGTTTCCGTTTTTGTCATTTTTATCTCCTGAAAATCACTTTTGTTACAAAAATCGAGCTTCTTCGGCGGTAAAATCACTGCAGACAGCGAATCGGAAGCGAACGCAAAAGAAACGCTGCCAAAACGCTGCCAAAACGCTCGAACAGCGTGAATTTACCGCGTTGGTTTGAGTGCTTCCGTAAGCCGCCATGCATTTAAAACGCGGCGAATTTTCCACCACTAATAATTCGCTGCCGCTGCGTTAAAAACGCACTAATTTGGCCAGTTTGAGGACCTTAAAAGAAAAAAAGTTAAATGAGACCGCATGCCAAAAGATGATGTAAATATATAGAAAACGATTGTTCATCACTTGAAACCAATTCTCAAAAGTAAAATATTATATTATACTATTTTCCAAA